TCCATGCCTCTGGATGATCTCACCCAGCGGCTGTAGCAGTCTGAGAACTATTTAACAGCCATATTTCAATCCTACAGAAACCTGGGATTTGGGGTTTGAGTAAGGAACTTGGTATTTTCTTCTAGACAGTTCTAGTGCTGTAGTTCAAGGGAGAGTCCTGTAGTTCCCAGCCTCTGGTCCTTCAGTTGATTCAGCCTCTCAATTTATATGCTCCTGGAAGTTGACATCCAAAACATCTGGACTGGGTCTTGCTTGTCATCCACTCTGAAATTCTTAAACACTTCCTGATCTTAAAAGAACCTTTTGCTGATGGGTCATGAGAAAGTAAGCAAAAACCTGCCTCTTGTCTTTCTTTTGTAATGTGATAAGGCTCTTAGATCCTGAATTGGAAAGTGAAAGATCTTCCAAATCTGGTATGGATGTTGCCACATAATAAACGCAGCATGCCTGAACCTGATTTGGATTTTGTTCAAAATGGTAGGACCATCATGATGCAGTACACATTGTGGAGAAGGTTTTGACAGAATTAGGGAAGGTAGAAGATTCACCTTTCAGCTCTTCCTTCTTCTCTCCCCTCCCCAATCATCTGAACATCAGGTTCCCATTCAACCTACATCCACAGACATGACTTTACAGTGGCAAATGGATCATCATTCTCCCATGTTTGCTCTGTCAATGACAAATGTGCCTGTGACAGAAAAACGTATGAGTTCACCTCATAGCTGCAGCTCTAAAGCTGATTCACAGAAAACTCTGGCTGGTGCCAAAGCTGCCATTTATAGATGGTAATAATCATTCATTTTGCTTTCTGACATGAGCATTAAAATTCAGAGGAGGGCAACTAAAATGGTGAAGGGTCTGGAAATCATGCCCTATGAGGAACTACTTAGGGATCTGGACATATTTAGCCTAGAGAAGAGACAGTTAAGAGGGGATAGATATGATAGCCTTCTTCAAATATTTGAAGGGATATCATATTGAGGAAGGCACTAGATTGTTTTCTGCTGCTCCAGAGAATAGGACTCAGAACAACAGATGCAAG